AAAAAAAAAAAAAAAAAACAAAAACCTGCAATATTTATTCTACATATGGGAATATAGAAATATAAAATTAAAAAAAAAATAAAGGAATTTTCTGCCAATTATAGTTTGAGATTTGCTAAATTTGCATTCCCACATAAAGTCACATAAAGACCAAAAATAAATAAATATTAAAACAATTTCGAGTTTTGACTGAAGTAAATGGAAGACAGCCTAAAAACACCATCCTATCTATTTAAACCAAATTATTGAGGAAATAAAAAAAAAAAAGGAAACTCGAGCTTCGTAAACGAGCAGAACTCAAGCTTCGTTAGAAAATTATGTAAAAATCCATATTTTCGAACCTTAACGAGTTGAGGTCAGCTCATGAACAACTCATTTCGTTTAACAACTCTATGCTTATGATACCCAAATTCATCATAACCAAGACATGCCTAAAACAAAGCAAATATAGCAGATAAAATATGATATAAAAATTGAAAGAAAAGAAAAATATATTATTTACTTCCCACCATTACTACTCTTCCATTTTGCATTGGCACTGCAATCCAAGCAAAGAGAACATAATCTGCACTTTCAAATTAGGCGCAAGAAAGCAAAAACTCTCCAATTTCAACCAACAAATTATTTCAGATAACCTTCATGCCATATATATAAATAAAGTAATAATAAACACACTCGAACTCTGTTCATTTGCTAATATACGCAATCCAAATAATCAGAGTGCTCGACTCGAAAAAAAAAAAACGAAAAACAGAGAGAGTGAAAGAGATTATCCGAATAAATTCAAGAAACAAGAATAGCTTCATTACTTGCAGCGTTATTCTGAGCAGCCTCTTCCAGAAGTTTCCATGCGGACTCCCGTTTCTCCTTGATCTCATTTTCCTTGGACTCATCCTCCTGGAACTTGTTCTGGCACGCCTCGAATAAATCAGGGTCAAGATCGTAAAAAATCTTTCGGACATTCAATGTCAAACTGTGAACTGCCTGATTCCAGTGCTGTCGAGCATTTCTTTCCAAAGCTGGGAAGATTATGGGAAGTATGACCTTTCGGTTTTGCTTGATTAGGTTCTCTATGTGGTCATTGTTCCACAAAAATAATGCCCTCTCAGCCACCTAAGGGTTACGATTTGAAAGGAAAAAAAAAAAAATGAAGAAAAAGAAGAAGAAAATGAGAGTATAGGATTATTTCACAAGAGAGTATCAATCATATCACGAAGAACACTATTTTCACTGGACATTAGTCAAGTGCAAATATTTACACAATGTCCCGTATTACAAAAATTGTTTGATACTCCATTTATCTGGAATTGTAATATTATTGTTCAAGTTATGGGATCGTGACCTTTCACGAAATTCAACAGTCATATATCGTAATAGCTAGTCAGCAACTTACACTTGATCAAATCATATTTATTTTTAATTGGTACGGTAATAGAAGATCAAAACATTTGATAATCTAGTAGGATAATGAAGCAATATAGAAGTGTTGTATAACCCAGTAAAGCTGTCCTACAAATGGTGTGATAAGTATTAAGTATATATCAGTGACTGAAGGCACGTATATAAGGATGCAGTAATTTTTAAAAACAGATAACAAAAAATGAACATGATAGTATAAAAACGGAATGTGCGTTACAATGGCTGGAGATCGCAAAAATTTGTCTCCAATTGTGGCATAAACAAATCTTTATCGAAAGAAAAAAGCTCAAATGTTGGATAAGCTAAAAGGAGGTGTTTAGTGAATAAGTATTTAGAAGTGCTCATTTAGATTTTGATTAAAACATAGTTTGAAATCATTATAGTACCCACACAAATCTTCGTTTTTTTTTTCAGCTTAAAAGCTAACAATCGGTTCTTTTCATTTTTCTAAAAAAGTGATTGCAAACACTCTCTTACTACAAACAGATGATCGAGACAAACAAAATCGATCTCCGCCTATCACAAATGTACTAGTACAAAGATCCCCACACTGCTCAAGACAATCATTAAACAATATAACACCCAAACTTCACCAAAGAAAACAACAAAGTACAAACACAAGCACATACCTGAAAGTGCAAACTACTCAAGCAACACGAAATTCGTCGAAACAAAGGCACCATACACCGTTGAAACTCAGGCCCCTGAGTCGCCTCCAAAACTTCCTCGAGCTCATTCAGAAACAAAACCTCCTTTGTGCTATTAGTCACGGGCCAGTATTTAAGCAGCCCTCTAATCACAGTATCCGCAAGCTTACAGTCTTTCTCCACAAACTGCGTCACACAATAAGACAGCTGCTGATGGTACATAGCCACACACTTCGGCTTGTGCAAAGGAATCAATGTCCGAACAAGAAAGAGCTTGTGCTCTTCCTTTAACGGCAAAGCGAACCCGTTTATTATACTCCCGAGCACTTCAAGAAACTCGGCAATCCCGTTATGCTTTTCCGTCTCGAATACAAATCGGTAAAAGACATTGTTGATGGCTTTCCTGATGAACGGGCGGTGAACCATGAACTTCCCATAAATCCTGTGAAGTATGGTTTTTAAATACTCTCTCTCGCTGGGAACTTCGGAATCGAATAAATCGAGCAATTTAAGCACGAACGAGTGGTCTATGTGTCGTTTGGCGACTTTTGCATCGGTTTCGGGTGAGGTCACGAATCTTAGGAGAAGCTCGTATACGACTTGGAGATGGGGCCACGCAGGGTCCATGGCGGGCTCTTCCTCTTCCGGGTCGAGCCCGTCTAATAACCCGTTTTCCCTTGGCTGAGGGCTGAAATCGCGAAATATGTTGATCGATATCATCCGAACGACTTCTTGTATGATGGGCTCGGGGAATTTCCCATTGGCTGAGGTCACGTACTCCACGAGCTCTAACAGAGTCTGCCGCTTGATCTCTTTCTCCTTGACGTTCTTAGTGGGGTCGCTAAAGTCGAACAAGACACAGCACATTTTCACTTTCCTGATAAAAAGCTGCTGCTTTTCGGAAGTGGGCACGTCTCTGAAGCTAGGCAAGGCCTCGTATGAAGAGGGGATCGGATTTCCATTCATTCTTGAATTATGGTCCTGAAGAGATTTGTTCTCGGGGGTTTTTCCTATGTTCAGAACAGAGTATGGGGCTGATATAGACTCGTCGACAATGTTGCTCGATTTTTTACTTCCTCCGACACTTTTTTTGGAACTAGTCGAAGAAGAGCTCGTGGAGGAACTCGGCTCTCCACTGGATTTCGAGTTCTTCCTAGGGATCTTACCGAGTATCTGTTTGATCATTTTTGGTTTAAGCTACCCAAAGAATCCCAAAAACCCCTTCCCCACAAAAATCCGACAGTAACTGGTTCAAGCACCAAACTTTACCTAAGAATCCTTCAAGAAGCCTATGTTACTTCCTGGGGGCATAAATCGAAATCCTCAAACAGCAATACAATTGCAATTAACAAAATTGAAGCAAGCTGTGCCTTTAGTTTATAGTTTATTAAGGTAAATTTACGAAGAAAAAAAACAAGCCCTAATCAACAACAAACAATACAGGCCAGCCAAGAATCTCAAAACTGTCCCAATTTCAAGCAAGATGAAAACCTACACCATAAGGTTCATATTTTTACGAAAACCCATCAATTTTTTTCCAACACCAAAGCAAAAAAGTTCAAGTCTTTCGACTTAAACTCACAAACCCATATGTGTAAAGCCAAAGAGAAACCCTTAAAACAGAAACAAGCAAGACACAGCTTCAATTATCACAATCAGAAATGCATAAACCAATTTTTTACTCTTTTTTTTCATATAAAAAGAGGACGAAAAAAGGAAAGGGAGAACGGGAAAAAAAAAAAAAAAACAATGGCTTTTTCAAATAAGAGCCACAAAAGCTCGAGTGTACAATAAGTTCAGAACATAAGGATGAGAAATTTACAGATGTGATGAAATCAATTGGTGAAAAAACCAATCTTTTTTTCCTCGTTCTTGAAATTTCTTTGACCAGTTGTTCCCCCTTTTTTTTCTTTTTTTTTTTTT